ATAGTGGGACATCCTTCAGACTTAAATATATACATTTATCCTCTTTCTTAGCATTTTCCAAGCATTTGGTAACTTAATTTCAGATATTTATTTATTTATTTCAAATGGCAGGCGTTTTGATAGTTATCACTAGCCCTTTAGCTGACTTCGGGCTTCACAGGGGGAAGGAATATCAAAGTAACAGAAAGTCGAGGGGTGGGGAACAGAAGAGTGATTTGCAGATGTAAAGAGACAGACATGAAGGTATAGAAAAGGTAGGATGAGTACTGCGTCAGAAGTCAATCGCCAGTTAATAGACTTTTTTGCCGTATGAGTATACGTTGCCCAGAGTGCACTACGTGGAGGTAAGTCTATCACACACCCCTAATTTCAGATATTTTCAAACATATATTCAAATGCATAAGCAGTCATTGTGTAGTCAAATTGATCTGTGTATTCCCAGAACATTTTTTTTTAAGTTGCAAGACTATTTTCCCAAAGGAATGTCTTAATATCACCACATTGCATTTAGGCTTTCCAATAAGATCACTTATCAGATTAATTTTGAAATACAACTTAATTTCGTTTCGAATGGAATGGCGACGATGCTAAATAAGAGCTGGCACTCGTAAAGTTTGGGCAATTGTGCTTTTACTTCTATTTCCCTTCTAGACGGAGCGCGATGTTTCGGTTCGTCAACGGGCGGCCGATCTTCTCTACGCCATGTGTGATCGTTCAAACGCCCAAGCTATAGTGGGAGAGATGCTCTCGTATCTTGAAACTGCCGATTACTCTATTCGCGAAGAGATGGTTCTCAAGGTGGCTATTTTGGCTGAGAAATACGCCACAGATTACTCCTGGTACGTGGACACTATTCTCATGCTCATCCGTGTCGCTGGTGACTACGTGAGTGATGAAGTCTGGCATCGAGTCGTTCAAATTGTTGTCAATCGGGAAGATGTTCAGGCGTATGCTGCAAAAACTGTCTTCGATGTGAGTCAACTGTTTACTTATCACCCCAGTAAGCCCCGCTTGCTGAAAGCGTAGCCTTGGCATTTATGTCATTTACCTCTCTAGGCCTTTGGTGTGTTAATGGAACTATATGCGTAGTTTCAATACCACTTGAGGTCTGCAAGTCAAATTGCAAAATTGCTTCAAAAGTTGCTATTTGGCCTAAAATCGCGACAAGTTTGAGATGAATCCTTATTCCTATATATATGGTAAAAAGCATTTGGTTACTTTTGTTATGCGAATATCATCTTCATTCTAGTCGCTGTTTTCTGTGTGAAAATATTGTTAGCTAAAGTAGGCCAAGTGTTCATTTACCGAATTTTTTTTTGGCCTGGAAAAATGGAACGTTTTCTCTGCTTGGTATTTTTAACTCTCATCCTTTTCATGTGTTATTTCTTCATTTTCGAAATTCTGTGCTAAAACAGGGTTCTTATTCCATTTGATTCTACTGTTACCCTCTCTTGTGCACTGAGAGGTTTTCTTTCCTGTCCCCGGTACCAACTAGCTCCAGCGATTTTCAGTTCTCTTATGTTGTGTCACACGGGGGTGTCTGCGCATTTGTTTATTCTATGCACGGAGACCAATGCAGTAGCCTTAACTTTCACCTTTCTTTTGTGAATTCAACGCTCTTATCAAATATATTCTGAAGTGTTTCCTCTTTTTTAATTAGATGCATCTGCAAATCGCAATCTTAATTACAGTTCTGGCTATGCAAATTGGCATTTTTATTCAATTGCACTTTGGAAGGTTGTGGAAGGCGAATGAGAATTTGCCTTTTGATCTGTGGTGGTCTTAGAGCATTAAAGAGTGCGTTTTTTGTACGCTACCGGAAAGTTCTCACCTCTTCGGGTAGCAATAAAATTTTACCTTTTTCGTCGCACTCTCTTTTCTATTGACTTTAGTGTCGTGTCCAAACGCCTAATATTCTACGATTTGAGTAGAGTGTCATTTATTTTCTCCTAAGCACGGAAAGTGCTTAAATCCGCAAAGGTTGTGATTTTTACGTTCTACTTGTACTTTCCCCTTATCCTAGGCTCTTACGGCTCCAGCTTGTCATGAAAATATGGTGAAAGTTGGCGGTTATATTCTCGGTGAATTCGGAAATCTTATCGCCGGTGATGCTCGTTCTTCGTAAGTTCAAGTTTTTTAACCCCCCCCCCNAATTTTTTTACCCCCCCCCCCCCCGCCCCTCCTTCTATATTCCATGCTTCATATTCAGAGGCTTAAGGTACCGAAATGCCTGTCTTTGATATTAACTTTGTTTGCCAACAATTTGAAATTTGCCTATGTATCGCACTTAAGGATCTAGTAGTAATCCATTGACTTGAGTAGCAAAATCCACTTCGTTACACATTGGTTGTGAAAGAACGCTGAAGTGGTGGGTCTGAAAGTCTTCTCAAGAAAATGTCTTCAGGACATCTACGAGGTTAATGCCATCTTCCCAATCAAAACTGATCAGAATTTTCTATCCACTAACTGTAGATATGAACAAATGCCTTGCAATTGAATCTCTTTTAGGAAGAAGGAAATTTTGCTTAGAGATTGACAATAGTGGACAAGGCTTAAATCAAGCCGTTAGCCATTGCACCCAAATTGAAGACAACTTGCTTCCCTTACGAAACAACATAATTCGTTATTATCTTTATATTACTGATTTCGTAGTTTAAACCGAGAAAGTATGATTAAAGAAAACTCTAAATCCGTATGTGGTTGATTTAACGCCTGCTGCTGCACTTCGATGCCTTTAAAAATGTCTTAATTCTTTCGCGTAGACCGAAAATGCAGTTCGAGCTGATTCATAGTAAGTACCATCTTTGCACTCCGACCACTCGTCAACTTCTCCTCTCCACCTATGTCAAATTCATTAATCTCTTTCCCGAGTTGAAGGAGACTATCGTTGATGTGCTCTCGCAGGATAGTAATTATCGAAGTTCCAATATCGAAATCCAACAGCGCTCTGTTGAGTACCTTTCTCTCTCGAAAGTCGTCACTGAAGACATTCTCGTAAGTACACCCATTAAAACGTTGTTGTTCTTAATTTGATGCACAATAGCCGTTTGAATGTAAGTGTATGGTGAAAATGACACCAGCGTTTATCCTCTGGAAAGACCCTCTTTTAATTGTCTAGTGCTGTTGACTCTTCCACGCACCGAGTGTGTACTGGCAGAAATTGTGGTTGCCACTTGGAAGTATGCTTAACTTGATTCAGCCGCACGGAGCCCAATGGCAGTCTTTCAAATTTAAAAAAAACATAAAATTATTAACATCCGCTAAGCAAACTACTTTCCCTAGCAATACTATTTGCCTATGTTATAGGCAACTGTTCTTGAGGAGATGCCACCCTTCCCTGAACGCGAATCTAGCATTCTGGCAAAATTGAAAGCCAAGAAACCCGATTCGGACATTCTTACCAGCGGTGTGAAATCGACCACCAAGGCGATTACGGCGGCTTCAGCAAGCGACGCGGAGAAATCCTCGTTGGTAAGTGGGGGGATTTATTGGCGTTAGGGCATTTTACTTTTCTCCCTTGTGGTGGGAGATTTTTGGCGATTTTTTGTGCTCTCATCGCCTGTAATCGGATTGGCTTAGTGGGTTAGGTGGGGGAATAATGTTTGAGTGCTTATGTCTGGGTGGGAATTCAGCTTTAGATAAGCTTTTCAGTGCAGCACGATGCAGATTGACCCATTTAACGACCTTTATTCAGTTTATTTGTATTCGAGTTAAAGTTTTATTTTATAACAAATGGCAGGCGTTTTGATGGTCATGATTAGCCCTTTAGTTGACTTCAGGCTTCACAGAGGGGAGAAGGAACATCAAAGTGAGAAGAATTAAGGAGGGGGAATAGAAGGGTGTTTCAAAGATGCAAAAGAAACAGCCACAAAGGCTCAGAAAGGGTAAGGTGAGTACTGTGATAGGGGTCGAATATGACATACAGTGGGGGCTGATGGTGGTTTGAAGTCAGAAGTCAACTGCCGATTAATAGACTTTTTTTGCCGCATGAGTATACGTTGCCCAGGTTGCACCACGTGGAGGTAAGTCTATCGCACACCCCGTATTCGAGTTAACGTTGAAGTGTGCATCTTGTCGTCTGGGAAGGTGCTGAGAAGTTGAGCTCTAGTGAGTTTTGTTTTATTTTTTTTCAATCATAAAGTATGCACTTAAAAGCTTTGTTACATCAAGACAACCTTATGGAAATGACTTAATCTCGTAGAAAGTGATAACAAGCCCTACAAAGCTGACATCAATTCCTTCAGCATTCCCCCATGCATCGTGTAATGTAAAGTACTTTTTTGTGCAAGTAAAAGCCAATGCTCCTGCTTACATGTTGGACGCGGTAGTTCAGTACTTTGATTTAAACTTTATTGGTTATTTATTCTCCAGACACAAGCTCAAGTAACAGCGTCCATTCTTGCTTCATTTTCTGGCTGGCAACAGCTTCCTTTCTAGCCTTCCTCTTGCAAACGGACATGTTAGCATTTGGAATGACTCTATCGGTAAGGAGGTGTTAACAGAGAGGGTTGAATAATTCTGGAAATGCAGTAATTCCCCCTGCTGCCCTATCTTCTTTCCAGTCAGAATCACCTTCTTGGTAGTTCTCAACTACCAGGGACGACGGATTGGGTCGAGTTCGGTTGGGGCTGTTATAGAGTCGACACTTTTGTGAATCCGTATTCATGTCACTCTTTTCAGTATGCACCTTTTAAAAATGTAATCTCTTGAGATTTGAAACTTATATTAAGACAGGGGATTAAAACCTTTCGTTAATTTGTTTTCATTTTTCCATCATTATGAGTAAATGTCGCATTTAAATCACGGTTTTTCCATTTCATCGGGTTTTAAGTTGAATATTCTTGTACTTGGTCACTTGCAAGCTTAAGTAGGCACTGCATTTGAAAGGCATATTTTGGAAGAATACCTGCTGCTGCCACGTCCTACCACGGCATGGTATTCAAATTACACTGGCCACTCAAGCTAATATAAACAGCTAACAAGGCAGGCACGCCGAGTGTTGATCAGGTACGGCCGCAAATGGAGACAAGTTTGCAAGGTTGACTCGCCTGTTAATTATCCATTCTCCTTTTACTTTACCTTGGAGGGCTTTTTGATTAGTATTTCTTCTGAATGCTGAAATCCGAGATGTCGAGTCTGATTTCATTATCTGGTTTCGTCTTATAGATAAGTGTTGTAAAACCTTTTTTATCTAAGAGTGACGAAAATTAACAGATCGCTGATCGTCTCTGAACTTATTTTCATTTGTATCAAATGAAAAGCTGGAGAACACTCGGGGTAATGATCAGTGATCATGGGGGAGGCTGGGAGTGGGGGGTGGGGAGGTGGAGGGGAGGGGAGGGGAAAGAGGCCAAGTTTGGGTACGGATGCGGGGTAAATATGAAGCGAATGGTGCATTGGGGTATGGTTATTTATTTAACTGAGCTGCTCTGTGCTCGAAAGATGGTTGAAACGAATGTTCCCTTTTTCTTTCAACTTCTTTCTTTAGAACCGTGGAAACAATGGCACAGCTGAAGCCGACTTGCTTGGTCTTGGCTTGCCTTCAGCAACCACTGATAGCACCAAGGCGCTTCCTCCCCCACCTGCCAACAACAATCGAATTCTTGCTGATATTCTCGGTAACGGGGTGATCGAATCGTCTTCTGTTGCTTTGGTTCAAGCCTCTCTTCAAACTCGCTCAATTTCCCTGATTGACCTTGACATGGACTATATCCCGTTAGTTATATATATATATATATATACTGTTTTTTGTTCTGCCACGATCATTTTTGTGCTTGTTTGGTGGGGGGGGGGGGGGGGGGGAGTGAGACGTAGAACTACCGTACAAAATAAAGTGGGGTTCTTCGTTTGTCAGGCTACAATCTGCTGAAAGAGTAATTCACAAATTAAATGCATAATTAGACCACAGTGCTACTCACTCTCGATTACTTTGCTGTCGTTCATACACTACTTAATCACTTCCAAGTACATTACCTAAAAAACACTTCATCCAAACATCATCCTCTGAGATTCATTGCTCGTTAGTGGCGGTATGTGTATTTCATTTGAGGCATAGTTCATCTGCGCCCACGTCAGACTGTTAGTTGGGTTTTGACATTTTTGTTCTTTCAAATGCATTCCCGTCTTGTGCGTTATTATAGTGGGACTTTTCTTCCCATGAATTGTGAAATTATGCAAGATCTATCATTATAATTCCACTACTTTTCGTCCTTAGTGAATTAATGAGACTCTTTGAGCACTTATCTGTAAGAGGCAACAAGTAACTCGATGTGTGTCATGGCCATCCATGGAATTAAAGCGACCGATTAATTCCCATAGAATTAATCTCTCCCATGAATTTGGTTACCAAGCCACTTAATAATTTTATCATCAAACGCCTTGTGTTCCTCATTTCTTCGTTTCCTTCAGAGTTCCACTTGAACAGGCAGCGGAATAATTTCGTTTCTGTTTTTTTTCCTTTTAATTAAATTTGTATTATTTTCAATCAGCAATCATTGGGTTGGTTTTTTGATTAGACAGAAACAGTTTAATCTTTTCCTCAACCAACGAATGCGCTGTTTTGTCTCTGCGTTAGAGAATTTGGTTTTGGATATTATTTTATCTTCACTTTCTTCATCACTTCTTTTTTAACCTTTAAGACTGATCTACAAATCACAGGGTGTATTGTTCGAGAACGCTCTTATACAAATCGGCTACCGTTCAGAATTTCAAGGCAACCTCGGTCGAGTGCAATTGTTCTACGGAAATAAGAGTGGTGTCGCTATAACCTCTTTCACCTCAAAGGTTGTCTTCACTGAGCTCTGTCCTTCCACAACTAATAGCCCTTTGAATCTTGACTTGCGTCCAGCGCCCACTACAATTGAGGCCGAGAAACAAGTGCCTCAGATACTCAACATTGAGTGTCTGATTGATTTCGCGGAAATTCCCCTGTTAGATATCAACTATACGTAAGTGAACACTCAAGTCAACTTTGTGTTGTGCGTTCGACCACCTGAAAGATTAAAAGTTAAATGTGCCGATATTTTGCGTTTTGTAGGAACCAAAATGGGCCGGATCACAAGTCTTTACCTCTACCTGTGTTTTTGACTAAATTTACTCAGCCTGTGCCAATGGATCAAGCGACATTCTTTGCTCGATGGAAGCTACTTTGCCAGTGAGTTCCCCTCTGTTGTAGTGTGCTACTTAATTTGCCTTTGCTAGACTAGTGGAAGATGTAGAACATTCTCGTTCTAGCGTGCACGGGAGAGTGATATGATCAACCTGTGAATGGAGAAGCTCGTGCATTTACCCACGGCATGCGATTTGCCCCACCGTCCAATGTAAATATCTGTAAAAATTTGACAAAAGTTAAAGTCCTGGGGGGGGGAGGGTTAATTGAGTGAGTCATTTTGCCACGAGATTACCCAACATACTCCACGCTCGTCCACTGTGCCAGTGTCACACAACTTGCTTAAATGCTATAAGGACTTATTATTCGATAGAGGAAATGAAACTTCAATAGTGTTCGTGCTTCAGCATCTTGAACAATTTGCCCATAGCCGTATGTCGGCTCACTTAACGTGGCATACAATATATCCGGTGTTAACCTTTTTTAGGCCCGGACAAGAATGTCAAAAGGTGGGCGGAACCAAGCTCTCCTTCAACTTGGATGATCTTAAACAACGGGTGAGTGTAAAAGCCTTTCCTTGCAAATGTGTCTTGATACTTCCCCCCCCCCTTTTTCTATGCCTATACTTTCGCATGTCATTTAGGCATTCCCTATTTAGTGATTCATGTATTCATTTTGTCTTTTTTTAGATTGGTGCATCGGGGTTGAGTATTTTGTCCGATATTGACCCCAACCCGGCAAATATTGTCTGTGCTGGTGTGGTACACACCGCATGCCAACAAGTTGGTGTTCTTGCACGCATTGAATCGAGCGTAAGTTTATTATTGACTATTTTACTATTTCACGGTTTTGCGCTCAGATAGGTGTAAATAATTTAAACAGCGTATTTCTTATCGCATTATCTTCAGAAGACAGTTTCATATATATTAGCATGTTCTTGTTCCCCCGTGTGAAAATTGCAAGTGTTTTTTTTTCTATCATTGCCTCGATTTGCCACCACTGTGTGTGGTTGATTTCTTTCTTGATGCGTGATTTCAACCACTGGCTATTTTGATGAAAGTCCAAAAACGGGGGAAAAGGGCGGCTTCCAAGCCTACTCCAATTCCGATTATGGACATAGTGCAATTGACATTCTTCATTTTTTACGAATACTATCATATTGAAATTGTAAATGGTTTGAGCGTTGGGTAGACAGCCAAGTTAGCCCAGTTGCGTGATCGATTTTTTCGGGCAAATATCTGACACTCATCGCAAAGTCGATCAGGCATACTTTTCATTCACTCCCCCCTCTTCTCCTCAAATACCGATTGTCAATAATTGATAATTTACATTTTTTCACTCATTCTACCTGCTTTCCTATTCTCAAAAGCATCAATGCGCCCAAAAATTACACTATCAGGCACATTACACTTAACCCCAAAGATGATCTCAGTGGTGCTTCTTCTTACAGACTTGTGATGATTAAAGCTAATGTTAAATAGTACTTGATAGGTCTTTGCTGCATATATATATATTGTAATTGACTAAATTCTGGGCTACTCCAATCCAAAACATTAAAAACACCTCATAAAGCAGAACGTCATACGGCTAAATTGTTTCCTCCCGTTTCAGAATTTCCGAGTGACAGTACGAAGCACCAAAGCATCTGTTTCCGAGTGCATCTGTTCTATTCTCCTCACTGAAATAAGATAATTATCTGTCGAAATAAGCGACAGTTTTTCAGCAATCTAGTCTAACTTTCAGTCGGAAATGTCTTCGCAAAGCAACACTGTCGTATCTTGCATTTCAATTTTCTCAAACATTTTCTGGTGATTTAAGCTCCAAATGCTGATTTAAATACTTGTGACCGCCTCCCCTCCCACGCTCTCTTTTTATTGGTAGAAGAAAATAGCAGAGTTGTACCTTGATGTCGTCTTCTTTCGTGCGTACTTCTCACTGTGAAAATGGAAAAAAACTATACGTGGAACAACCTCTCTTGCCCCAACTACTCCCTTTCCTCATTCCTCTATTTGTGTTGTGATCAATTTTCTCTATCTAACCTTATTAATACTACGATTTCTTTGTCTTCAAAACAAATAAAATTACACTTTCGCATCAAGTGCTATTTCTATCAAATAAGAAAAGGAATATATAATATATACTATAGTATCATAATTGAAATATCTACAATTACACAAGAAGCGTTACGGTTGTTGCTGGGATATACGGGCTGCGAATTCCTGAAAGCGTTTGCGAAGGAAAACTGAAACGTCAATATAACGTTCTGCACAGTTTTTCAGACAGTTAGCACGTTTATCGTCAAGCTTAGCACCGGGTGAACCCGTAAAGCATAAATCCCAACAGCGACTAGTAAGCTGAGAGACCTGACTTTGAAACTCAGCTTGAGTTTGAAGTTGTTGAAGGGCTGTTTTCATTTCGCTGTCGCCAGCAGAACTAGATGCTGATGATTGGAAGGGTGAGTCATCACCAAATCCTGTATTAGAGGAGCCAGAATCGAACCTTAAAAAAAGCAAAACAACTTGGCTTACAGTAATAATCTAAGATGCACTTTGTATGAAGATAAGCCATTACAATAGGCAATTGCCAAATAAAGTAAGGCAAAGTCAACAAACCCAAAAGACATTTCCACGCAGATTCAACTGGTAAGTAGTTGGCTAACCAATAATATTATACTCCGCGCGTAAAAGTTATATTTTAAAGTTAATATCATTTACACTCAACTTCAAGTATTTATTGATTCAGTAATGTTAAAAGAATTGATTATTTTATTTGTATTACAGTTAATTGAACTTATGTCTTTGTGATTTATACTATTAAATTTTAAATCATGATACTTGGACGCCTACAAAGTATCTACTTATTACATCAATATTCGCTGATTTCTAGATTTTTTCTCATTTGATCTTAGAAATAAGTATTTGAATTGCATAGAAATTATTTTTGGAGAAAGTGCACATGGAATAAAGCTGTTCTCTCTAAAGTACTTTATAATCAAGGTCGAATACTGACAACGGAAAAATTAGTCATTACCGTCTATCCATTTCTCCTAGTCATCTTACCGTTTATTAAAATTTTTCGCTTTTAAAATAGTTGTTATTTTACAAATTTGTTATCAACCAGTGTATACATGCACAAAGCGCATTATGATATTTTAAATAATTTTGCCAATCATGTTCTGAATCAGCGTTTAAAAAATTGAATTAAAATAGCTTTAATTATACGAGGATTATACTCCTCATCTAGATGTTTCACGGGGTCCAAGGAAAGCAGTGCCAGTTGAAGATATATAATGGCTTTAGTGCTTAGAAAGTTTGTAGGTATTGGATAAGCCAAGTAAAAGTGCAACCAGTGAAGAGTCTAGTAACCATAAATAATGTGGTGAACAGAGTTAACAGTCATGCTTGTTCTTGAGGCGATTTTCTTAAATGTCTAAGTATAATAAGCATTCAATGTCAATTTTAATACCACGAAAACTTAACTCTTTCAATAGATAATAATTGCGAAAATTAAATAAAGAACATTATTAGCTCTAAGTGAACTCCCCAACATATTGTTTAGCAGCAATAACTACAGAAAAAGTTAAATGCGAAAGCAATCATACAGATTGCGCAAATATGACTAAGATCAATCACATTTTTCAAATCCAAATATACTGGTAATTTAAGAGTAGGGAGATCAGCATATACCTGAATTGGAGCATTGATTGCATCGAGAAGAAGCTGGGGAAAATGAAAAAGTGTATTATTAAAAACTTTAAATATATTAATTTTCATGACTTTTCAAAACCCAGAAATTTATTATTGATTGAGCACATGATTATTTTTGTAATTTCATCTGTAAATAAACAAAAAAGAAAGCCGAGACGTGAAAAGTCTTTACGTTTAGACAGTGTGGTCAATTTTAGGCAGACTCAGGAAACACAAGTTCACAATAACTCGAATGCATCTTTAAATGGGTAAAGTTCTTTTAACAAATTGAGGTCAACTGGGAGGTCAAGGTAATAGATCTCAAAATGCTCAAGTGGACATTATCTAATAGGCTCAACAGGGTTTGGATACGCCTCCATAGAGACTTTAAAATTGCCGTTTGTAGCTAAAATAAGTTATCCACAAGGTCATCAATTATGCAAGAATGTTAGCAGAAAACAAAGTATTGCTTTCGAACAATCGATAAGACCTCAATCTTCCGGAAATAACGATTTTCTGAGTCATAATTATAACGACTATTGTTATAATCACTTTTGGCTGTTGCTCGCAATGTGGATAATTTAGGGTTTGTTGTATTGGATTGGGCAAAGAGAGCCCCGAATTGTCGATGTTTCGGTCTGGTCTGTGTTGTGGTCATGTTGGCGTAACGTCCCCACTGGAAGTTGAATGTCGTGGCTGAACTTCGTCTCCGCTTTATCTCCAGTAATCATACTCCTCTTTGCCTGCCACTCGTGGCCAGAAAATGAGTAGAGAAGATAGGGTGACAGATTCGTTGTGACGTTGGTAACACGACTGATAACATCAGAATGCGCGAGTCTCTTAAGATAATTGTGACTGTTGTGCACGTTGGATAGTGTGATGCCTCGCAATTGTTAAAACAGTGCTAATTTTGGTGTAGGTTGGTGCTCGTGACATTAGTGGTGGTGTGAAGGGTGAATTCTTGAGGCCAGTGACAAAGTGGTGAAAAGTGAGTAGCTGGACCAAAAGAGCCTCGTCGAAAAGGTCACAGTCCTACTCGAAGATGCAGTGCGGACTCGTGGGGCTTTATGACAACTTGGAACTTCCTCGTGGAGGACCAGATAGTCACACCAAAATTATGCCATTCTCCAAGGCTCTTGAGCATACCTTTGCCGACCTATTCTCAGAGATCGAAAGTTGACTTTATTCCGACTGCGAAGAGATTTATAAATCAATCCGAGGATGAATATGATTTAAATCTTTGTTTTACTCCAATAAATGGAAGTATGAGGTGTTTTTAGGTCATCAATTCCGACTCCTTAATAGATGATGTTAGTGATTCATTGATGACGATTAAGCCTAACGTTAGCTCATCAGTATACTAACTCCGTGCATAGTTTATTGAAAATCTAATTACTAAGGAACATTAAATACTACACGTGAGCAATCCAACATGTTGTTTAGAAGCAATAACTAAAGAACAGGACCAGCTGATTTCCCAAAATCGACAAGTTTTATTAATTTTGATTTATCTACTGTTCGAAATGCTTACATTGAGGCATACAGCGTGATCAGACAAAACACTCATGCCGAGTACATAAACTTGACAAGTGACTTAAAGCAATCACATTTTCCTAACCTATTTTAATTGATAATTTTAGATCATGGAATAGAGTATATACATGAACTGGAACATTGCCTGTGTTCTGTCTGTGGGAAAGGAACAAAATTATCGTCATACCATTTGCATTAGGAGAGTTTAAGTAGATTCATTATTTTTGAATTTGATAAAATACATATGTTAATTAATGATTGAGCTGATTATTAGCCTTGTAATTTCATCTGTTAACTAACACATGGCAATAAACTGTAAAAGTAAGCTGAGAAATTATATGGTCTTGACGTTTAGATAGTTAGGTCAATTTTAGGCAGATTCAGGAAACAACAGGCTACAATAACTCGAAAGTATCTTTTAACACATTGAGGTCAACTAGGAAGTCAGGGTAATAGATCTCAAAATGGTCAAGCGGACATTATCTAATATGCTCAACGGGGTTTGAATATACCTTCATAGAGACTTTCAATTTGCCGTTTGTACTTAAAATGACAGCTGATAGTGTTGTAGTTCGAATATCCAGTACAGTTCATCACCATCTCTAAGTGGGCAAGTTCACAACTTAATGAAATTTGTTCATAAATAAGTTATCCACAAGGACACCAATTATGCACAAATGTTAGCAGAAAACAATCTTCAGTAAATAACGATTCTCTGAGCCTTGCTTTACCCTTGTACTCCACCTCCATTGAAATGATCTCACGTTTAATAAATTAGACTTCCAGTTTTACATCTTCGTTTCTGAAAAGCTGCCGGTCCACGTAGTGGTGAACAAATTCCCGATATACTGATAAAATGTTGCAATTATTTTAATTGATGATTGCATTAAAATTAATCCGCCATAAGGATAAAATTTAATTTAAATACTTATATGGGTAAAGGTAAGGCAAGCAACTTCAATGGCGATACTAACTTATCAAAGTGAGGGAGTACATACAAGACGCAGAAAGGTAAAGCTTCTGATAAGCATATGATAATGTATATAGTGGTGATTGAATAGTAGAAAGTTCTTGTTATGATAAGGGTTAACTTAGTTACGCCACACAAAGAGACAATAGCGTTAAAAGTAGAAAGTTCTTGTTATGAATAGGGTTTCCTGAGTAACGTCAAACAAGTTTGTAATTGCTTTAAATGAGGCGCATTTAAACACTATTGGTCTTCTAAGTTTAGATGGTCAACTTAAAGCTGGATCAAAGAAGGCACTGACAAATTTTATTAAATCTGTTACGCATCCATCCCACCCACCCAACCCCCACCCCCAAAACCCCTTCCTATAACAGGTTTAAAGCACGTTCTGATAAGGACAGAGATCAGTCTCAATCTAGAGATCGAAACAATGCTGTCTGAAGTGGAGGAATCACCGATGACCAGATTTGTGTTGATTCATGTGGATGTCAATAATTATAATGAGACATCGTTACCAGTTGAGAAAATCAATGTATTGCTCTTTTAGCAATGCTCAGAATTCGTATAAAATGAGCATATGGGTAAGGAATTGACTTAGCACTGGCATTGCCAGACAGACCACGAGTGACGAGGCCTAATGACCCCGTCCGTATTTGCAGTGAACTATGACCCAAATGTAAAGACTAGCACCTCTTAGGTTTCCTTTCATGCCTCTCACTCTATTATGCAGCATATCCTCCACCTATTGTGTCTTCCTTTCAATATCGGTAGAAATATAAGGTTAATAGAAACTATCTTTGTTTACAGACACTCCATTTCTGCACCGTTGACACACTGCATTCAAACCTACTTTTTCTGTATCACAATGTAGCATTGCAAAATATTCTTCACCCACTTGACGCTAACCACTGAGCTTACCCTGAACTGTAGTGGGTAAATATCAACATCTTCTTCCTCTTCTTCTTCAACTATAGACATATTTCTCTGCAGCAGGTAACTACTGCATTCCAGTTGACAAATTTAGGAAATACGAAAACTTCTTTTATGTGGAGAATCATTTTCTCAATGATATTGTTGAGGTAAAGTTATTTATAAATAATACCTCCATAACCTTGAATGTTTAATATTAGACATTAACATTAATTAAAGTCGAATAACATCAAATTGAGAAATGACGCATCAGTGGTTAATTCCTCCACTTTTCTTTCATATCCTGATTTCCGAAAATATCTAGAAATGCAGAGAATGAATTTCAGACTAATTGCATCAATAATGTTGATGATGCACTCATTTTAAGTATTCACCTAAACGTAAAGAATGAACAAAAATTTAAAGGATCTAAAATCTGAAAACGGTAGTGATGTGCCCTCCTCATCGGACTTTTATCGTAGCATAAATCTTATCGACAAGCTCATTCTGCCAAATATGAAGGATGCATTCTCAGGGTATTCTGAAAGGCAATAGTGTGACACCATCCAATTGCATAAGTTGTAATTGTGACAATTTTGTTGCTCCATCGACGAAGAAAGTGAAT